CTAACAGAAGTATTGGGAGCATAAGCTTTCGTGGGTAAGAACCTCACTTCTTCAGATGCAAGATAAGATGGTTTGACAAAGCAGGGGGTTGGATGCCAAATCCTAATGAAAAAAAGAAGGTGGGGGAGCAGGAAGATAAGTGTTATTCCCTTCTGGGGTGAGGTCTGCAGGGCCGTCCTTACCCATACGCAAACTACACAGCTGTGTAGGGCACCAGGAAATTTGGGGCACATGAGCCGGTCAGAAAAGCTGCCCCTACCCCACCTCTTCCCATCCCTGCTCCGCCCCAGCCCCGCCCTCCACCCCTTCCTCTGAGCTACATCCCGGGGGACTGCAGCAGGCGTCGGGCGCGCCCTGCACTCACCGGGGGGCGGGAAGTGGAGCAACCCGGCCCCATGCCCCAAGCCTGCTCCTGCCCCCCACAGACCTTGGGCGACCCCCTCCTGCGGATGCCTGTGGACGCCCCCCGCCCCACCCCCGTGGAGGCCTGGGGCCAGCTCCCCCCCTGCAGGGGGGCTGCATAGAGTACCACAATGTCTAGGGACAGCCCTGGAGGTCTGGCTAGAGTCCTAAGCACCATTTGACCTTTTTCTCTCCAGTGTTTAAAGATAGGGCTAATTAGGCTGCATTGAAAGTCATTGCTTCCTTTTACTGATGGTCAGAGATGGATTCCTGAGAAGCAGGTCTAGGCTAAGGGCTATGCCTTAGATGCGGTGAAAGGACAGCGGGGAAAGGAAAGGCAATGCATATCCAGTGATATCACTCAGAGCAGCGGCAGCAAAAAGCAGTGGCAGCACATGACCACCGGCAGCAGTTGCAGAGGCACACACTGACTGCAGACATTGCTCAATGCCCCCCTCCTTTCTGGGGTGGGAGATGAACCCTTTAGGGTTGCCAGGTGTTCGGTTTTCGGCCGTTAAAAGTCCAGTTAGCGTAGGGCTGGCAGGCTTCCTACCTGGCTCCGCGTGGCTCCCCGGAAGCAGCAACATGTCCCTCAGCTCCTAGGCGAAGGGACAGCCATGGGACCTCCGTGCATCGTCCCTGCCCCGCCCCGAGTGCCGGCTCTGCAGCTCCCATTGGCCGGGACCTGCGGCCAATGGGAGCTGCGGGGATAGCACCTGCTGCACCTCCACCTAGGAGCCAAGGGCCATGTTGCCGCTTGCGGGGAGCCGCCCAAGGTGAGCCCCCTCAGTCCAATTTTTCCACATCCTTCTTGTAGTGTGGGGCCCAAAACTGGACACAGTACTCCAGATGAGGCCTCACCAATGCCGAATAGAGGGGAATGATCACGTCCCTCGATCTGCTGGCAATGCTTCTACTTATACAGCCCAAAATGCCGTTAGCCTTCTTGGCAACAAGAGCACACTGTTGACTCATATCCAGCTTCTTGTCCACTGTAACCCCTAGGTCCTTTTCTGCAGAACTGCTGCCTGGCCACTCAGTCCCTAGTCTGTGGCAGTGCATGGGATTCTTCCGTCCTAAGTGCAGGACTCTGCACTTGTTCTTGTTGAACCTCATCAGATTTCTTTTGGAACAATCCTCTAATTTGTTTAGATCCCTCTGTATCCTATCCCTACCCTCCAGCGTATCTACCACTCCTCCCAGTTTAGTGTATTCTGCAAACTTGCTGAGAGTGCAATCCACACCATCCTCCAGATCATTAATGAAGATATTGAACAAAACCGGCCCCAGGACCGACCCTTAGGGCACTCTGCTTGATACCGGCTGCCAACTAGACGTGGAGCCATTGATCACTACCCGTTGAGACCAAGGATCTAGCCAGCTTTCTATCCCCCTTATAGTCCATTCATCCAGCCCATACTTCTTTAATTTGCTGGCAAGAATACCATGGGAGACTATCAAAAAAAGCTTTGCTTTTGATTTCACAACTGCATGCCTGAGCAATATTTGTATACTCCTCCCTGGTCATTTGTCCAATCTTCCACTTCTTGTAATCCTTCCTCCTATGCCCAAATTTCATTCCTCACCCACAAAAATGTTAGGGTATGCTTATTCCATAGGCTAGTATGTTTGTGTGTATTGATGACATATACATATGCACATAGGTTATTTTTGTTCTTTAGTCATTTCAGTTATTTCCTTGTGGTGTACGTGTTAAGTCTGTGGGTAGAAACTTGGAAACGCCCTGTACCATTCTTCCATTATCTATCTGTCTCGGTAAAAGGTCTTAATATGGATATGCTAACTTAGCCTTAGCTTAACATACAGGATATGGCCTGTAGGTCCCTTGCATTAAGGTACATATTAAAATCATCAATGTGTTTTTTTTTAAAAGTCATCCTCGCTCTCTCCAATCTTTGGTGGCTCAGTGTGGTACATTCCCATGTTGAACCATTGAAGCATATCCCGGTGTGGAACAAAAAACTGGAACATAGGATATGTCAAGTGAGTGGGCCAGAAAGTTCATGAATGTGGGTGTGTTTTCTTTACTGAACGGGACTAGGAGGATTCTGAAATTCTAATGATGTGCGTATACATTGGCACCAGGGATCACTGAAACCCATCCTACAACCATTTTCAAACTGTAACTTTGGCTTGAAGTTGCCTATTACAAAAAAGCCCAAATAAGCGACCTACAAACGATTACTTATATTGATTACTTAAGAATCCCCGGTTATCACTTTGAGGGTTGACAGGTTTTTGGTGTGGTGTTGGTGGAATTTAATCACGTCTCTTTTTTCTTTCACGTGCTACTTTGGTTGTGTGAAACCTGCTTGGTGATTGGGTGATATTAATTGTACACAATAGCAAAAGTTATTAGATTACCATTGGCTACTACTAGTGCTTCAAAAAATGCATTATTGGGTAACCGGGTGAAATTTAATGGTCAGCAATACACAGGAGGTCAGATTATATGTTCTAAAAGTGCCTTCTGGCCTTAACTTTTATGAATCATCTCCTCCTTCCCCTGAGGAGTATGACCCCACCCAGCCCTGCACCTCAAAATTAAGACGCTTTCTCGATCTCGCCTATATATACACGCACACACCCCTATGGAACTCATTTAGCATTGAGGCCTGGAGCTCATGGAATTTTTAAAGAGGATCCAGTAGAAACGTGGATAATGAGACTCTCCATAATTGCATTAGCTCAACTAAAAAAAAAAAATGTACTAGAAATCTCTTTCCGGGCACAAACCAACACCTAGCAAACAGAATTAGGCAGAAATTTGGTGTAGGGACAGATTGTGCCATAATTGTCCACTACAAAGTTTCCTGCATGTTCCAGCTAAGCGTGTAGTGCTGGCCACTGTCAGACACAGGACTAGAGGGACCCCTGGTCTGCTCTGATATGGCTGTTCCTATTGGCCTGAACAACATCATGGCAGTTAATGAAAGTAGAAAGAGTTGATTTGGGGGAGGGGTAACAGAAGCGGGGCTCAGATCCCAATCTCTTCCCAGTGAGAGGGAGAGAGCAGGTAGCTGAGCAAAAATGGATCCCCTTAGAAATTCTGCAGTAACAAGGTGTAAGTAGGGGAATGGTCCCGCTACTGTGGGCAACTCTCCTGGCTTATACACTACCCCGGTGGAATTGGCTAATGAAAGGATCTGAGTTCCTGCTCCCACTCCCGTTACCCAGAGGCCTCCCTGACCTCGAGAGCTCCCCTTCCAAGCGCCCGTGTGGCAGAGTCCTCGTAACCCCGACAAGGCTGGGCCTAGGATTCATGGTGGCTCGACTCCCCCAGTCTTGTGATCACTTAGGGCAGGGGCTAGGGTGTCCCCACTCCAGGGTGCTCTCTGGGCACCAGACGCTTCCCTGACCCACTGATCATTGCACTAAGTTCAAAGCAAATATGATTTATTAAACAGCAACTAATTTAAAAAAAAAAAGGGAAAAAATGGGAAAGGAAAACACGTAACCCCACTCTGTGGGCACAGGGACACCACAAACAGCCATCTCTGGAAGATAGCGGAAGTTCACAGTCTGTTCCTCACACCTCCCAGGCCTCCTGCCCAGGGCCTGGCTGCGCTGCAGGGGTGCAGCAGGTCAGACACTTGTTCTGGTGGTGGCTACACACCCTCAAGCTCTAGATAGCAGGGCCTTCCCAGCGTCAGCCCTCCGGTGACACTGCACTCCATATTGGTATGGTTATGATATGATTATGCTGCATCCACCTCCCTGAGAGACGGTTGCTAGGTTGACGGAAGAATTCTTCTATCAATCTAGCCCTGTCTACATGGGGACTGAGGTCAGCTTCATTATGGGTTGTGGATTTTCACACCCTGAGCAACGTAGGTGGGTCGATCCACTTTTCTAGTGTAGAACAGCCCTTAGAAATAAAGACCCACAGAGCCCTGCGCTTCTTTTGGTACTGCCCTTCATGTTTACTAGATTCAGTACAGAGGGGATTAGAATCAAGATGTAGCACCAATGGGGGGAGTAAGGGGGGGAGACAATATTCTTTCAACACTTCTGTAAGAGGGAAATAGTCCCAAAAATCCCAGCAGGAAATCACAGGAGCACAAGCGTGTGGCTACAGTAGCTACTGCAGAAGCTACAAACAATCAACATATTAAAGCAGGAAGTACAGATAAATGACTTGAATGTATGTCTCGTTCCTTCCAACAGTACACAGCAAATGAGTGCTGTAAATTTAATCTGGATGTGGTAGTGACCTTTGCATCACATTTTCCATGTAGTTAGACAAGCTGTCAGATACTTTACACAGGCATTTTAGCCATCGGGATTACAATACACAAAGGGAAAACGATGGTCTTTTTTCCCCCACTGATCTTGTGCAACGACCAACTGACTGATCTTCCCACCACCTACCAAAACCATCCTGTTGATAGGGAACAGCACAGGGGAGAACAGAAGAGGTAGGGTGGACAGCACAACCGCCACCGTCCTGGGACAAGCTGTGCGATAACACGAACATCAAACTCTGTATCCAATGCACTTCAGCCCCTAAAAATCAGTGTAGACCCACTGGCTTTTTCAGACTCCTCAGAAGCAACAAAGGGAAACAGAAAACCATCCCGGTTTTCAAGTGGGCAGCTTTATTCTACACAGACTGTACAGACAACCATCAATGGACCCCACATCTCACAGACGACTCTGTAAAAGTTTGGGGTCCCAAAGGGTACATCTTCATTGCAATCAAAGACTCGCGGCTGGCCGGGGTCAGCTGACTTGGGGTCATGGGGCTCGGGCTGCAGGGCTAAAAGCTGCACTGGAGCCCGGGCTCTGAAAACCAGCGAGGGGGGGAAGGTCTCGGAGCCAGGCTCCAGCCTGAGCCCAGACATCGACCCTGCAAGTTTTAGCCCAAGCCTGGGTCAATCGAGCCGGGCCCTGAGACTCGGTGCCGTGGGGTATTTATTGCAGCGTGGACGTACCCCAAGACACCCGCAGCCTAACTGGGAGCGGAGGTGGCTTCTGCTGGGTTGTTCTGCTGACTGAAGTAGCCGGAGAGCGCTTTTAGTGCTCTGTAGCGATGGGAGATGGAGTTCTTCACTGCCTTGGGCAGCTCGGCATACCTGGGGAGGGGGAGAAAAACAGGAATAGCCACAATCCCAACCAGAGCCTAAACCCTGGTTTGCTCGGTAACTGGGTGCACCTGAGCTCCAGCGGCCTGCTGAGAAGCTGAGCCTGCTCCCTCCCCGGGTTATCGCCATGCCAGGCCTTAGAGCTGCCGCTGGTGACAGCCCAGAAACGCGCATTCTGTAGCTGTCACATTCGTTTGCAGAAGCGGTTCCCTTGGCCTGCTTTGTACGTGCAGATTAGGGGGCCCTCTGTTGACTCTGGGCTTCACTTCGGCACCAACCTTTTGTAACATAATTTCTACTTGTGACTCAAGCAGGCTCTCTTGCCAGGCTCACCTCACTGAGCCCTTTGTCAGCTTATTCAGAGGGCAAGGAATTGAGTGCAGTTCCCTGAGAGTCAGACCCTGGGCCTGGGTCTCCATTATCCTGGCCCTGTGCAGTCATTTGCCCTTGTGCAACGCCACCTCTGTCCGTTTATTGCACGACACTACTCTAGGCAGGCTGATGCAGCTCACTGAAAGTCAGTCAATAAAAACCATATCTGACTCCTACAACAGTCCACCGACTAGCAGCAGCTACTAGAAACAACAACAGAACCACCCCTGCATCTCGCCAAAGTCTGTGAGGAGTCCTAGGATGGGAAACAGTTCATTAGAAACACACTCAGGTCGTCTGCCCTACAGGCTTGAGACAGTCTGAGCTGTGAGGTTCCAACCCACGTCCCTCAGGGTCAAAGCTGTTCAGATGTAGGATTTTGCTTTAAGCCCATCTCAACTTCTCTCTGGCAGAGTTCACTGTAAGCGGATTCCACTTTATGCATTAACAGAACCTTTGGTTTCGTGATTGTCTGAAGTAAGGAATTAAAGGCAAAGAGTCACTTACGTCTGGTCGTAACCGTCAGGCTGGAAGCAAGGATCCCAGCCAAAGTCTCTGGGGCCTCTGGGCTCAACAATGCGACCCTGCCAATTCGGGGAGGAAGAAGAAATAAGAGGTTTCTTTCTCGGCACTGCTCTGCCACATTCACATCATTACACGCGGGAAAATGAACCGGTTACATTTTAGACCGAGCTCTGCTTTGGGAAACCACCAAAAGTTACAAGACTGTTTAGTATTCCCCAAAACAAGGCCAAGGTAAACAACTAGGACTTCTTGGTTTAGTGCTCCATCTTCTTAAGTCCACGCCGTAGGCAGACAGACGACCTGCACCGCTCTCCACCTTCCCCTGGCGCGCCTGCTCAACACCCCCATCCCAGGGCACTGAGGCGTCAGGACTCAGCCCCCAATAAGAACTCCTGACTGTATGAAGGATAAACTAACAAACAGGCGGAAGAGCAGGAGAGAGCAGCTACAACAAGGTTTAAGGCTGGCTGGAGAAAACACGGGGCATGGATGGTGGGAGAAGACTGGTCACTTCAGTGCTTCTCAGTACCAGCAAGATGTAGCCATATTAGAGGGAGTTCAGAAGAGCAACCACACATCCAAACGAAAACGATAGGGTCTGGAAAGACAGACATCTGAGGAAAGGGTTAACTATGTGCAGCCGGGCGATGGGGCTTGGAGCTCATTGAAATGGTGCAGCCGCACATTCTGCTCCTAGCATTCGAGGGCTTGGAGGGCTGAACAGCCGCCAGGCTCAGGAGTGGAGACAAGAGAACTTGGAGGATCATTCAGAACCTTCAACCAACGTTTTCAAACTCCGGTGCCTCTGGGCACCACGATGAGTAGCCTGATCTTCAGACGTGCTGAGTGTCCACATCTTCCACTCAAGTCTATGGGAGCTGCAGCTGCTCAGCAACCCTGGAAAATCAGGCCATTTATGTAGGTGACTAAATATGGATGTGGGTGGCCAAGATGAGCCCCTTGCGAATTAGTGCTGTGAATGGACTCATGTTACAAGCCCCCTCACGCCCCAGCCTACTGCTATCTGCAGAGGCTTCTTTTGCCCAGCGATCGGAATACCTACACAAGTCTGGCCTTTGAACAGCTTCACCGGGTCCTCCGGGTTTCCAGTGCTGAATGCAAAGGTGCAAAGAGCATAAGCGGACTTGTCTTCAAACCCCGCTAACAGCTTGTACAGACCTAAGCAACAGAAGGAGGATTCCATCATCTCCGCGTTTCATTCGGCACACGGCACAACTGACAAGAGGCAATCTGCGACAAGCGAGGGGAGGGGAAACCCCAAACAAATAACATTTTGTGCCCCCATGGCAGGCCTCCCACAGACTGCATCCAACTCACAAGGGTGAGGGAGTATTACCGGGATTAGGCAAGGAATGGTCTGTCTCATGGGTATTTCAGGAGACTGGTGATCAGGATTCTTGGGCTCTACTCATGACTTTTCCACAGAATCCTTACAAGGGGGCTTAATGAATGTTTTTAAAGTGTTTTGCGATGCCTAGATGAGATGCTGTATCACTGCCTAGGATAACGGTTTTATTCATCTGATACTAAAGGTTACATCTCCTGTCACTTGGGGTCAGTCTGTTTCCCATTGTCCATAGTTGTGACAGCAGAGAGGGAGCTCCTGGAGTGTAGACAGAAGAGCAGGCAAGGAAGGGGAGTTTGGTGGTACTGGAGGGATACGAGGTGGGTGACAGGAAGATCAGTAAAAAGCAGGAGATCAGGAAGGCACATACAGGGGATGGATGGATGGATTTTGGATAGGTTGGAAAAGAAGTGACAGGATTCAGTAATAGTCTGGATGTGAGGGGGGGGAAGAAGGAAAGAGGGGTGACACCAAGGTTGTACTCCTGTGTTGCCATGTTGAACTGATAACTGCAGGGCAATTAGGAAGAGCGGCTGTCAGTACCAAGGCAGATATGACTCTGAAGAGAGGTAGATTTGGGAGTCATCGGCACAGAGATGGCTGCTGAAGCCATCAGCACAGATGATCTTACTCACTGATAAGGTGTAGATGAAGCAAAGGGAGGGGCTAAGGGCAGAACATGATGGCACACATGGAGACCGTGAGGAATGGGGAGAAGTGAGCGGTCCCAGAGATGGCAAAGGAACCGGTCAAGTGCAGAGCCGTGAGAGCCCAGAGAGGAAAGGGATTCACTTCACATTGTTGCTAGGTTGCACAGGAGCATGTGATTCTGAACAGCAAATCCCACTGAGAGCAGTAATTCAAAGGGAAATACCTTCTGGTTTTAACTTCTCTAGAAACCATTTTCTGAAACGTAAGAAGAGAACAAGTGTCAGTGGCAGGGTTATTTTCTGCCATTGTCATCAACAACGGAAATATGTCTAGTGCAACATTCTATGGCGGATTTCTCTCTGCACAGGTTTCCTAGCACTGTGAATCCCTGGTGAACTTGCACTGTTTAATAAACCTTACTCCGGGCTATATATTAACAAACATTAGGAAATGCAGATTTAGGCCTGGTCTACACTAACACCCCAATTCGATCTAAGGTACGCAACTTCAGCTACGTGAATAACGTAGCTGAAGTCGACATACCTTAGTTCGAATTTACCGCGGTTCAGACGCGGTCCACACACGGCAGGCAGGCTCCCCCGTCGACTCCGCGGTACTCCTCTCGCTGACGTGGAGTACCGCAGTCGACGGCGAGCACTTCCTGGTTCGAATTATCGCGTCCACACCAGACGCGATAAATCGAACCCGGAAGTTCGATTGCCAGCCGTCGAACTACCGCGGTAGTGTAGACAAGCCCTTAGACTCCAAACCAGCAAGTTACAGACCCCCAAGGGTCCTACTGAAATCAATGTGTCTCCTCCCTGGGCCAGGGGTCAACTTGCATGGAGTTCATTGCAGGGTTGGGGCCTATTTCTTAAATAACTGAGCCTGTGGGTCTTTAGCCCAAGATTCTACTCCAGTACTTTTGCTATTCAGATTACAGGCCAGTCTGTTGTGCAGTACCACCTAGCCTGTATGTTCAATACTTTAGCGAGGAAGCATAGTATAATGGTTAAAGCAGAGGACCCAGGAGACCTGGGTTCCTTTCTTGAGTTGCTGTACAATTTGGGGGAAATCACTTAAGCTCTCCATGCGGTAGCAATCCCCGCTGTAAAATGGGAAGAATACCTACCTCGCAGAGGTGAGTTTGTAAAATACGTGGGAGCTCTTTAAATAAAGAGAGCTATAAAAGCGCTAAGTATTCCTGAGGCCAAAAGTTCAGAAGAGTAATTCCCACAAATGAGCAGTGAGATGGTAAAAAAAAAAAAAAAATCCTTCATTTGAAGATTTTTTTCCTCCTTCCAGAATCACTAAGCCAATTGACTCACATTTGGGGAGTGATCATTTGCCCAGTTTTGTTGTAAGAAATAAAGAATGTGAGTTATAGAAGTACGTAATCACATTCCACCTTCCATGTTTTCTGCCCTGGTAACCAGAATAAGCAGAGCAAATTGTAGAGAAACTGCAAAACTAAAAAGCAGTGCCAAGAGCTATGGCAGGACTTTGCTAGAGGAGTTCTGAGTAAGGCTGCGAGTCTGTCATGGAGGTCACGGATTCCGTAACTTTCCGGGAACTCCAGGTCTTCCGCAGCTGCAGCAGCTCGTGCGGCTGGCCCCAGGGTCACCCGAGCAGCTGGCCCTGGGGTGAGTCTCACCAGCTGCTGCTGGGATGGCCCAGGGCCAGCTTCTTGGGTGGCCCCCGGGCCAGCCGCACTGACTGCTGCTTGGGCAGCCCCGAGCAGCTGGCCCCGGGGTCGCCGGAACAGCAGCCGATGTGGCTGGCCCCGGGAGCCACTGGAGCAGCAGCGGTTCTGGGGGCTGCCCCGGAGCAGCGGTCCAGGGGGGCCTCGGAGCAGCGGGTGGGGTCAGCAGTCAGCCCCCACTGCCGGAGCAGGGGTCAGCCATTGGCCCCCGGGGCTCCCCTGGAGCAGCTAAGATTTAGTCGGGGTATTTATAATAAAAGTCATGGACAGGTCACAGCCCATGAATTTTTGTTTATTGCCTGTGACCTGTCTATGACTTTTACTAAAAATACCCGTGACTAAATCTTAGCCTTAGTTATGAGCGATTAAATTTAGAAATCTTGTTTCCAGTTGAACTACAGCAGCCTCCAGGGTCCCATTATACAATAAAATAAATCCAGTGATTCGAATTAACAAAACTCGGTAGCTCTTTCTCTACTGAAGTGGCAGGATGGACAAAACTCCTCCCCTGATGACTTCAGTGTAGTTACACAAGGGATGAATTTGGTCCAGTCACTTTAAACCACAATTTCAGTTTAAGACCCTGCAAATGATGCCTGTGCTGAGTTTGAAGTGAAGGGTGCATGGATCAGCCCCCACGGATTCCTTCGCAGGGCCAGGTCCTACTTGGGATGCAGGAGCAGTAACAGGGAGTAAATCAGGGTCACTGAGCTGTCCCATCCACCCCATGCACTATGCATTAAGTGCAAAGCAGGGACCGGGCGAGTACAAATCCCTTCCCCATTTCCTCTCTCTTCAGGATGAAGCTGCAGGAACTAGAACAGCAAACTACAGAAAAGAGAGTTCTGCTCCTGGGGTTTGGAGAGCCCCCAGGAATCACATCTCAAAATACCTATAGCCCCAGTCAAACCGTAGTACAGGAAAGAACTACAAGCATATCCACGCCTACTTACATATATGGTCCTGGGAGGCCCCCCAAGGCATTGAAACACAAACAAGTGTCTTCTACGATAACAGGTCCCTGGATCTGCAGAGGGAAGTCAAAGAAACAGAAATATTAGCTCTAAGGGGAAGGCACCTTCTCCTAAACTGCCTTTTTGGTTACAATCCATTATGGTTCCACATGACGTTAGAGGCTTCATAAAAACGCAGCATCCATTAAAGCTCCTTAAATCTGAGGAGATTATATATAGAGAGAGAACAAGCAATGAAACCTGTGCTCTGCACCTGCAGCTAGAAGTGGCATTACCAAGGCAGAGATAAGAAGCTTTCCTTTGGAAGTTTGAGGAGAGCTAATCTAAAGCATTCGTATGGGTATCGCCCTCATTGGGGGGCAATACTGGAGAAACCTAAAATGCAGGGGGGGGCGGTTTGTTGCATTTGCACAGTCCTGACTTTCATTGGAGCCCGAGGCCTAACTGGCTTCTTCATTCTGAAAATGAATCTGTGCCTGGGCTCTTTGGATGACAACCTGTCACTGGCTGGTGGAGAACTACTTCATTACCCCCCAAATGATAAGATGGGAACAAAGGCGCTGACCCCATACCCGCAATCGGGGGCACCAGAACAGAGGGTACATGCAGCCATAGCCCCATCACTTTTAAAAGTGGGAGGGCGATGTCCTCCCACTTTTTACCGGCTGTAGGGCGTGTGGAAAGGAGTGAGCGGGGCTGGGTTCTCAGTGGGAAAGGCAGTGCGAGGGCACGGCCCCGGGGGAAGAGGCAGGGTGGGGCCTTGGAGAAGGGGTAGGGCCTCGGAGAGGAGCCGGGGCAGGGGCAGAGCCTCAGGGAAGGGGCGGGGCCCCAGGCAGGAAGAGGTGGGGCCTCAGGGGCAAGGGACAGTGCAAGGATGGGCCCTAGGGGAAATGGGCGGTGCCGGTGGCCCCCCCACACACACATTTTTGCCACTCCTGCCCGCAATAGGTACAGTAACTCCTGACTTAACGTCGTCCCAGTTAACATTATTTTATTGTTACGTTGTTGATCAATTAGGGAACATGCTTGTTTAAAGTTGCGCAATGCTCCTTTATAACGTTGTTTGGCAGCCACCTGCTTTGTCCACTGCTTGCAGAAAGAGCAGCCCGTTGGAGCTAGCTGGTGGGGGCTTGGAACCGGGGTGGACCGGCAGCCCCCCTATCAGCTCCCTGTTCCCCTAAGTTCCCTGTGCAGCAGCCGCCCTATTCCGGGCAGTTCAGCTGTCCCTCCCCGCACTGCCTTGTGCTGCTCCTACCCTCTGCCTTGGAGCTGCTCCTGGGAGCCTCCTGCTTGCTGTGCGGGGGGTGGGGAGAGAGGGGTGCTAATGTCAGGGTGTCCCCCTCCCCCCCACTCCTGCCCCCCATCTCCACAGAGCAGGGGTGGAACACGACAGGGATCAGGAAGAAGGGAGCGTGCTGGCAGCAGCTGCGGTCTCAATTTGAGGATCTACTTAAACAGGCAATGTACTTAGAGTGGGGTAAGTGTACTTAAAGGGGCAATGCGCGTCTCTCTCTCTCACACGTGTGTGTCTCTGTCTCTCTCTGCCATGCTGTCTCCCCTCCCTCCATTCATGCTGCCTTGTAGAGTGTGAGGCTACATTAACAACAACGTGTTAACCCTTGAGGGCTCAGCTGTTCTAGTTCATCATTTAGCAGCAAGGCATTCCCTGGGAAATATCCCACCCTCTGACTTCACCACCTCAACCAAGCTTCACAATCATAATTGCTGTGTACAGTATTAAACTATTTGTTTAAAACTTATACTGTGTGTGTGTGTGTATTATATATATATATATTTTCCCCCTGGAACCTAACCCCCCCATTTACATTAATTCTTATGGGGAAAGTGGATTTGCTTAACATTGTTTCACTTCAAGTAGCATTTTTCAGGAACATAATTACAACATTAAACGAGGAGTTACTGTACCTAATAACAGCAGCAGCCTCTGTTCTAGGGAAGCGAGAGGCCAGAGCTCTGCGGATGGGGACTCTATACTTCACCATGTCCCTGCTCTACCGGATTAGAAGACAAGAATACTAATCATCTAGGACAGAACCAGTTGTAGGAATGTTCTGCCAAAGCAACTGAGCTGATCTCACTCTCAATCAATGAGATCAATGGGATCAGGCCAGGGAAGGGCCTTTGCCGTAGAAGACCCTATTTATGAACCTTTCTCATAAGGGCTTCCACTGGAATTTCTCTGTAGCTATATTCAAATCTTCTACATCCTTTTTGTTGGCACCAGTCAGTCCATGGCCATTTAATTCCCCACCAACTATGTGCCAAACGGGTGGGTAGTCATGCAGTGGGTAACAGCTGGGCCATTTAGCCTAAACTCTTGGTTAATCTCTATTCATTTTTGACTTACACCTGTGGAAGTGGGGAAAGCGGAAAAGGAAATGACCTGATTTGCTGCTTCCCGGCATTTCTGAATGGAGATCTCGTCTGGTTCCCCTTGGTATTCTGGCACTGCAACAAGGACAGGAGGGATTATTGCGAGGTGAGGGGTGGCCAATGGCTGCTGAAACGTTACCGTTTAACGAGCGAGAAACAAAGTCACGGACTTACAGTCAATTTTTTTTGCGACCAGTCTGTACGGAAACGCATCCCCAAGGATCTGAAGGACCTGTTGGGAACAAGACAGAGGCTGTTCAGCCCGCTCTGCGGGCGGGGGACAGCGCCTAGCCCAGTGTGTGAGATACTGGGGGGAAGTTTGGTCCCATCCTCCCCCAGCCACAGGGGCTCTCACCACCCGCCTCAGACTCAGGCGCTATGGGGTGGGGAGGGAGTGGCAGGAAGTTTGGAGCAGGGCGGGCACTGGGCAGTGCTGGATGGGAGCAGTGTTTGGCCAGGATCAGGGACGGCGGGGGGGGACTTGCTCTAAGGCTCCTACCAGGCTCCGGCAGGGACACCGAGAGCAGGTTCGGGCCCCTGTGAAAAAATTTTTTTCGGGCCCCCAACAAGGGCAGACCGGCTAAACAGGCCGACGAGAGGGGAGGAAGCCGGGCTCCAGTAAGGCGATGAGAGGGGCGGGGGGAAGCCGGGACCCGGGCCCCCTTCCGGACCACCGGGCCCCGGTAATTTGTACCAGCTCCCCCCCTCTCGTCGGCCCTGGGCTCCGGTTCAGGGGAGCGGAACCCCCCGACGGGGTTCGTCCAGTGACAGGTTCAGCGTCGGGAGCGTCCCCAGGGCAGCGACAGTCCTGGCGGAGCCCGAGCCCCGGCCCGCCCGGGCGTTAACTCTGGAGCCTAATGCCGGCAGCGCGCGGAACGGGCGGGCAGTGACAGCAGGGGGCGGGGCTAGCTGCGGGGGCGGGAGCAAGCGCCGCACGCGGGAGGAGGCCCCGCCCCTCCCCCGGAAGACAGCGCCGTCCGGGGGTTGGCGGACGCCATGCTTCATTCCGGTACGGTGGCCCCCTCCGTCCAATCCGCGCAGCTCCCTACCCCCCACCTCCTCTAGCTTCTTGGCGTTGCCGGTCACGAACACCACGTTCCTCCCGGCGGCGGCGGCCATAGCAGAGCCACAGCGCCTGCGCGCTGACCTGCCAATCACAGCCTCGCCACCCGGCAGCCAGGGCAACGAGCCTAGCCCCGCCCCGCGGGACCGGCCAATGAGAGGAGAGACCGATCTTCCAGCGCCGTGAGGACTGAAAGGAGCCTGGGTACGCATTTCCGGTGACGAAGGGCGAGGGAGGCTCGGGGACAAGACACTTCCGGTCTCCCAAGCCGCCACTAGCTAGAGCAGACCGGAAGTGCTTTTCTGCCACACCCCCGAGCTCTATGGCCCTGGAGGCCGGAAGTGCGGGGTCGGGTTGCTCCGGTAACCGATGCCCTGCCGGAGGGGGCGGGGGGCTGCGGAGACCCAGCAGGGCGATGCTGTTGCCTGGGTGTAACGTGGCCTCCCTCGCACCTGGCCCGTGCACGGCCGCGGCTCTGCTGTCCCGGAAGGGGTCACCAGAGGTTTTACCGACCCCCTGCCCTGCTTAGCGTTGCCAACTTTCTACGGGCACAAAACCGACTACCCTAGCCCCGCCCCTTCCCCGAGGCCCCGCCCCCGTTCACTACATTCCCCCTCCCTCACTTTCCCTGGGCTGGGGCAGGGGTTTGGTGTGCGGGAGGGGATCTGGGCTGGGGATGAGGGATTTTATGGTGCAGGGGGGGGTTCCAGGCTGGGGCTGAGAAATTCGGAGTGCGGGAGGGGGCTGTGAGTTGAGGCAGGGGGTTGGGGTGCAGGAGGGAGTGAGGGCTCTGGGGTTGGGCAGGGGATGAGGGGTTCAGGGTGTGGGGGGGCTCTCGGCTGGGGCAGGGGGTTGAAGTGCAGGGGGTGGGGGCTCGGGTGCAGGAGGGGGCTCTGGTTTGCGGGGTCTATGGGCTGGAGTGCAGGAAGGGGTACGTGCTCTGGGGTGGGGCCAGGGATGAGGGGTTTGGGGTACGGGGGGGCTCGGGGCAGGGGATTGGGGCACAGGCTTACCTTGGGCAGCTCCCCTTCACCGGCGCAGCAGGGCTAAGGCAGGCTCCCTGGCACCGTGCTGCACCCCGGAAGCAGCCAGCAGTTCCGGCCTCCTAGGTGGGGGCAGGAGGCTCCCTCTTGCCCACAGGCACTGCCTCCCCAGCTCCCATTGGCCAGGAACTGGCCAATGGGAGTGCAGAGCTGGTGCATGGGGTGGGGGCAGCACGTGGAGCCCCATGGCCCCCCAGCCTAGGAATCGGACCTGCTGGCCGCTTCCAGGGTGCAGCACGGTGCCCCAGGACAAGTAGGGACTAGCCTGCCTTAGCCCTGCCGACCGGGCTTTTAATGGCCCGGTCGGCGGTGCTAACCGGAGCCGCCAGGGTCCCTTTTCAACCGGGTGTTTCAGTCAAAAACTGGACACCTGGTCACCCTAGCCCTACTCCAGTTTGCGGGCTCCCATCGGGGGGGGGGCCCTGCTAGGCCCAGCTGCATATCCCCCACACACTTCTGGGCTGCTGGGGGGGATCCCTGCTGGGTCTGGGGGGGGTTTCAAGCTCTGATCCCCTCCCACTTCCACTCCTCTTTAGCCCGGACTCCCCTGGGCTTTAGCAGCGCACAGACATGGGTGTGCCATTCCGGTAGGGTCTTACCAGGAGAGAAATGCCTTAGTGCACCAAGGGGCTGAGAGACTCAGACCCACCCGAGTCACTTAACACCTCCAGATGAGGAAACAGCTGAGAGCAGGAAGTTCCTGTCTTTATTAAGTTGCCCTCCTTACAGCATAGCCTGGCTCTCTCTGGAACTGGGGAAGGCCTTGGGGCTCTATAGTTAATTCTTTCTGTTCCCCAGATACACTGAAAGGAGCACTTCCATACCACATGCCAAATATTAAATACACCTCTACCCCATATAACGCCACCCAATATAACACGAATTCGGATATAACGCAGTAAAGCAATGCTCCAGGGGGGCGGGGCTGCGCGTGCCGGCGGATCAAATCAAGTTTGATATAACGCGGTTTCACCTATAACACGGTAAGATTTTTTGGCTCCCGAGGACAGCGTTCTATCGAGGTAGAGGTGTACATGCAGCCCTGCTGTACTAAAACAAAGAAATTAACCAGTCGAAGGGTATAAGATCCACAGAGCATATGTACACAGCTGTCATTCCTTCCATATTTAATATAGGTCACGGGTTAGGCTGTTAAATGTGGAAGCAAATGTGAGAGTCATCAGAGGTTTTGGGAGAGGATTCAGAATCTGCTTCTGAGCCGGCACCCTGCAAATCCACTTGTAGGGCAAACTCCTCAGCTGCTGAAATATGCAGAGCGTGGGAATTTCAAAAGCAATCAGCGCCGGCCTTGTTCTTCCCCCATTGCAATCAAAGGTAAACCTCCCCTTCACCTCAAAGACAGCAGAGCGAGAGCAATACTGGGCTCTTTGAAAATAACCCCGGGAAGGCTCAATAGCAGAAGTTCTTTCCTATGGACACATTTTAGGTGGTTTGGCAAATTGCAGAGTGGTTTTTTTAAGTATAAATATTCTTATTTTACCGGGAAAGGTGAACTATACAGATGAGGGAATCCAGTTCACTATTCCTCGTCAGGCCGACAATTCTTCGCAGCTGGGATTTTGAAAGCAGCCCAGCTCCCACTGAAGTCGGATTCCTATTGAATCTGAGAGCATCATTCCCTTAGGGTCCTTGGAAATCCTGAGCATGCACCATCCCCTCTAACGAACAGAGAGGGTGGGAAATTTTCAAGTAATCGTTCAGGGGGAATTAGCCCCTTTCAGACAGATCCTCTGCAAAGCAGTGTCTGCTTTTAGTGTAACAGGCTTATGGCAGCACAAGACATGAAACAAACACACAACCGCATACAGTACACGACATGTTCCCTTTTGGAGTTTGCAACCAGCACAGCGTCCCCTCCCCCCCATTAACAAAGCAGCTGAGAAATGTTTTCCGCCGGCGCTACTTGCACAGCGACTCGAATATCTCCAGGGTCCTTTTGATCTCCCGGATCTGTTTGGCCAGGGCGTGGACCGGCTGCATGGAGCGGTCCAGTTCCTCGCAGCGGGCCATCAGCGTGTACATCCCTTTGATGCTCATGTCTACGGACTCGCCCAGGCTGTCCACGGCGTCCCGGTAGGTCTGGATGTAGCCCACGCTCAGGGCCGTCATGTTCTGGATGCTGCCGCTCAAGCTCCTCATCATCTGGTCCACTTTGTGGGCCACCTCTTGGGTCAGGCGCTCCAGCTCCGTCAGCACCGCGGGGTCAATGGGGGGGATGTCGGCCGCTTTGCTCCGCCCCAGCCCTGGGAAGGGCTGGCCCGGGGGCTCCGGCTCCTCCAGGCTGCCCCGGGAGCTCAGCTTGATTTTCAGCTGCAGGTTGTTGGCCACGAAGTGGGTGAGGTCCCCGTCGTGGCTGACCGTCCCTTCCAGCTCCAGGGCGCTGGAGATGGTGGCGCGGCGCCCTTCCTGCGCCCGGCTGGCCCCGTACGCCTGGCTGATCCCATCCAAGCTGCGGCTGTCCAGCAGCCGCCCTCCGGCCAGCCTGTCCCCAGCGACGGAGCCTTCCCGGCACGGATCCTCCGGGCTGGCCGCGGCCCCCGGGGCTTGGACGCGCACCTGGGCCATGATGTGCTGCGGCAGGCCTGCGCCCCTCTCCATGCTCCGGCCTGGGGCTCCCCAGCGCGCACTGGCCGGGAGGGGGACAGCGACACCGGAGGAGGAGCCTAGGGAGAGGCAGATAGGGAGGGACGCAGGGAGAAAGCCAGCGATCCAGTTTGCACCTTTCCGAGGAGGGGGATCTCTGATTGGGCTCTCCCAGAGGCAAAGAGCAAATCACAAGCAGCAACACCAGGACAGGGGGAGGAGGCGAGACAGGAGAGGGTGTGAATGTGATTGAGACAGGGAGGATGAGAGCCAGACAGGGGAAAGAGGATGAGGAAAGAAAAGGTAGGAAAAAGAGACAGAAGAGGGTAGGAGGGATGGAGGGAGAAGCGGGGGAGAGAAAGGGTCACGGAAGTGAAGGGAAGATTCATGGATCTTAAGGCAGAAGGAATCTGATCATCTACTCCAGGGGTGGCCAACCTGTGGCTCCGGAGCCTCATGCAGCTCTTCAGAAGTTAATATGCAGCTCCTTAGGCTAGGTTTACACTGAGGGTGGGGGGAGAACGATTTAAGATACGCAAATTCAGCTAGGCTATTCGACGTATCCGATCCGACTTACCCCGCTGTGAGGACGGCGGCAAATCGACCGCCGCAGCTCCCCCATCGACAGCGCTTACTCCTACCTGGGCTGGTGGAGTACGCGTGTCGATTCGGGGATCGATTGTCACGTCCTGACGGGACGCGATAATTCAATCCCCGAGAGATCGATTTCTACCCGCCGATCCAGGCGGGTAGTGAAGACAAGCCCTGATATACATGGGGGCACCGGCGGAGCAAAAAAAAAGCTGAGTGTCGCCAACGGAGAAAAAAAAAAAAAAAAAAAAGGAAGCTGCGAAATATCGGGACGCGGGACAGACACCTAAAGATTGGGACAGTCCCAATTTTATCAGGACGTCTGGTCACCCTATTATATAGGCACCGACTCTGGGGCTGGGGCTACAGGCGCCAACTTTCCAGTGTGCCAGAGGTGCTCACTGCTCAACCCCTGGCTCTGCCACAGGCCCTGTCCCCATCCCCTGAGCCTGCCATGCCCTCGCTCCTCCCCTTTCCCCTCAGAGCCTCCTGCATGCCACAAAACAGCTGATTGGGAGGTGTGGGGAGGGAGGGGGAGGCGCTGATTGGCTGGTTTGATGGTGGGTGGGAAGCACTGGGAGCGGGATGGGGGGGAAGCTGATGGGGGGCTGCTGACGTATTACTGTGGCTCTTTGACAATGTCCATTGGTAAATTCTGGCTCCTTCTCAGGCTCAGGTTGGCCACCCCTGATCTACTTTGACATCCTGCATAGCATGGGCCAGAGAATCTCACCCAGTTACCTCTGTATTGATCCCAATCACTTGTGTTTTCCTACAGTCAGGGCCAGCTCCAGGGATTTTGCCGCCCCAAGCAGCCAAACAAACAAAAAAAGCCGCGATCGCAATCTGCGGCGGCAATTCGGCGGGAGGTCCTTCGCTCCGAGCAGGAGTGAGGGACCGTCCGCTGAATTGCCCCTGAACAGCCTGACGTTCCGCCCCTCTCCAAAGTGGCCGCCCCAAGCACCTGCTTGGTAAGCTGGTGCCTGGAGCCGGCCCTGCCTACAGCAGTGGTTCTCAGCCCGGGCTATGCAGAGGTCTTCCACGGGGTACATCAACTCATCTAGATATTTGCCCAGTTTTACAACAGGCTACAAAAAAGCACTAGTGAAGTCAGTACAAACTAAAATGGCATACAGACAATGACGTGTTTATTCTGCTCTATATACTATACAATGAAATGTAAGTACAATATTTATATTCCATTTGATTTATTTTATAATTATATGGTAAAAATGAGGAAGTCAGCAATTGTTCAGTAATAGTGTGGCTGCGACACTTCTGTATTTTTATGTCTGATTTTGTAAGCAAGCTAGTGAGGTGTAACTTGGGGGTACACAAGCCAAATCAGACTCCTGAAAGGTGTCCAGTCGTCTGGAAAGGTTGAGAGCCACTGGCCTAAAGCATCTCTTCCAGAAAGGCCTCCGTTCTGGATTGGAAGCCGTCCAGTAGACCAGGCCCAGTGTAGTGTGCAGGAACAGGCTCCTATCCCTGTAAATAGTGTGGGAGCGCTCGCTCACTGTGCTGTGTTTCAGAAGCAGTCAGAGCGGCAGGATGTATTTCCCTGGCAGGAGCCGGACAGAGCCTCTGGCATGGTGGGGAGAATGGAATCCTGCTATGGGGGAAGAGGAAATGTGGGGGACAGAGCCCTGGCACGGTGGGGAGAATAGAGGATCCTAGTATGGGGAAATGGAGGGCAGACAGAACCCCTCACAGGGGGCACCCTAGTATATGCAGAATGGGGGACACACAACCCCTTGTGAGGGGAGGGAAATTGGGGGGATATAGGGGAAGGGGGCATACAGAGGCCCTGGCATTGGGGAGTTTGGGGAGTTGCAGGAAGACCTTGAAATAGAGAGGATGGCAGGAGGGCATTCCAGGAGCTTATGGGGGGATGGAGGGATACCAGGAGTCCCAGAGCTCAGCCTACACAAGCTGTTAAATGCATGCCCCTCTAGCGTATATTTAGAAAACACAATTATTTGGAACCCAGCTGTGATTCCTTCAGATTATTGTTGTGTAAAGAGCAAAAGACACAGCACAGAAGAGAGAAGACATATTTGAGATCAGGAAGGATTTTTCCCCTGGGTCAGATAGGCAGAGACCTTGGGGCCATCTTTTGCCTTCTTCTGCAGCTTGGGGCCCTGGTCACTTGCAGGCTTAAACTAGTATAAATGGTGAATTCTCTGTAACTTGTAAGTCTTTAACTCATGATTCGAGGACTTCAGTAGCTCAGCCAGAGGTTAGGGGTCTATTATGGGAGGGGGTGGGTGAGGTTCTGTGGCCTGTGACGTGCAGGTCAGACTAGATGATCCCTTCTGGCCTTAAAGTCTATGAGGTGTATTATGGTAGTTCCTAGGGGCCCCAGTCATGGCCCAGGGTCCCACTGTTCTAGGCACTGTACAAACACAAAACAAAAAGACATCCCCTGCCCCAAAGGGCGTACAATATGAGTTTAAAGCAAAAGACAGCAGAGGCAGACAGGGCAGTACAAGGAACCAATGAGATAATACTGGGCAGCAGGATCAGCAGTGGTTTCAGCGCACCAGCAGCCTAACTGTTGTCAAGTTTTTTATAGGCATCGCAGCATAGGAGTGTTTTGAGGAGGCATTTGAAGGAGAAGGAGGAAAACGACTCCAGACTGCTACTGGTCAGTCGCAAATGAGTTTGGAGTCAGGAAGCTGACCGTTCTGGTAGCAGTTAATCCTGCTACGAAGGACTGTGACTCTTGGCAATGTGCATGAAATAGTGGAGGGCTTTGTGGCAATGGGATTCCCTAACTGCGGAAGGGCGATAGATGGCACGCATATTCCAATTTTGGCCCCGGACCATCTTGTGACAGAGTACATCAACAGAAAGGGGTACTTCTCTATGGTATTGCAGGCACTTGTGGATCACCGTGGGTGTTTCACTACCATCAACGTGGGTGGTTCAGGAAGGTGCACGGCACGTGCATCTTCAGGAACACTGGCCTGTACAGAAAGCTGGGAGCAGGGACTTTCTTTCCAGACCAGAAAAGTCCAGCGGGGGATGTTGAAATGCCCATAGTGATCCTGGGAGACCCAGTGTACTCCTTGCTCCCATGGCTCATGAAGCCTTACATGGGAAACCTGGACAGTAGCAGGGAGCGCTTTAACAATAGGTTGAACAGGTGCAGACTGACTGTAGAATGTGCCTTTGGCAGATTAAAAGCATGCTGGCGCTGCCTTTATAACAGGTTAGACCTAAATGAAGAAAATATTCCCGTGGTCATAGCAGCCTGCTGCGCACTCCATAATATTTGTGAGGCTAAGGGTGAAACGTTTCCCCCAGGGTGGAGCACGGAGGCAGGATTGCCTGTATGCTGAATTTGAGCAGCCAGATACCAAGTTTATTAGAGGGGCACAACGGGAGGCTATTCGAATCAGGGAGGCTTTGAGGCAACATTTTGTCAATGAGCACCAATGATGTGTTTTTCTATACAGCACTCTGCCATGCTTTGTTAACTTGCCACCTTGCGTGAAAACTGCGATGATTCCTGACTGGGATTTGCAGTCAGCAAATGATCAAACTAACACTATGTATTACTACCAGCAGCAAACACCACGTGTAGGAGACAAATAAAGATTGGTTATCTTTCAGAGAGTTTGTTTTTATTAAATACCAATTAACAACACACAAAAAGCTTGGTGAGAAGGAAGATAAGAGTGCAGGGCAGTGTAGGGTCTCATAGCTGTGTGTAAGTCCAGCTACCATTTTGGAAACTGTCTGAAGGGGTGGAGTGAATGGGGTATGGAGACGTTCCGGAAGGTTGCAAGGAATATGTGGGAGGAGTTTGGGGAGGGAATGGAAAGCAGTTCTGTATTGGCTGCAGGGCTGTGATGGACACTGGGAGTTGCCTAATAACTCAGTTCTTTCCTTTACCACAGAAGCCTTGCTCCAGGTCTCTAACCCAGCTGAGCTCTTCCTGGCCTTCATAAAGACTAGCCGCTCTTCAGCTAAATGAAAAACTTTGATAAGGCAGAATTTAGGTAGCCCACTGGGTGTCTTAGGCCTTTCCAGAATGTTGAGAGTGGCTAAACTTAACCCACTGAAAACCTGGAAATAGAGTTAAGGAATATATACATCACACACACCCCCAATGCAACCTTAACTCTGCCCCCCTCAACTCTAGCTATAGCCACTGGGAATGAGTGATGCAAAGGTTAATAAACTCCCAATAGGACTGGCGCATTCTCCATCTCTTCAAATCCAGATGGGACGCCTTTCTGGAAGATGCTTCAATCAAACACATTGGGCTTGTTACAGGGACAACTGGGTGGCATTAATGGCCTGTGCTATACAGGTCAGACTAGAATCTATACATTTTAAGCTGTTAGGCAACTAGTAGAAAAAGTGTCCTCCCTCCTTCACGCCCCTAGCACAAAATATCTACTTCATTATATGGT